AAAAAAAAAATGGTAAGTTGAGGGGGGTCTTGCGATTTTTTTATGATGCTTCCCAAATTCCGAAAGCCCCTCCCCCCTCCCTCATAAAAATGAACGGTCCCTTAGAGAATAGTTCGTAGTAACTTTGTTGAAATTGAATAATAGCTCTTGGCGACGATCAAGTCGTAGTACAATTTTGCCACAAAGGCACCACACCAACTTCTTTGGAGTATAACTTACTTAGCTCTGGCCACACTTATAGCAGACCATATTTCTGGTGTTTCAGTGGGAACAGGGCGGAAGGGGTTTTAGGACTATGACACTGAGAAATTGAAAGCAATAAAGCTTGGAGGATGTATGTTAGGTCAAAAATGATAGAATACGAAATGGCGTTGCTTCTATTTCTATTTATTGTTATTTTTTTTTTATCTCGAATGAGATGTCGATGAGTGCTCTAGTAACCCGTGTCTCAACAAGGGAACTTGCACCGATCGAGTGAATGGGTTCACGCGCAGCTGTGTATCGGGATTCAGGGAAACACGGTGTCAATTCCAGCAGTGCCCACCCCCCCCCCCCGGGCAACCGCCGGGCAATTGCTCCCGTTGTCAGTCCCGGGGGTGGGGCATTNCCCAGACCTATATAGCCCATATAAGGGAGTCCCCCCCCCCCCCCCCCCCCCCCGTCCCCTCCTCTCCAGACTAACCCTCGGGTATTAGCTTTTAAAAAAAAAAAATGGGCAAATTCCCGATGGTGGGAATCCTCGCTTTCCAACACCTCTGCAGTTTTTTTGTTGTTGTTGTTGTTGTTGTTTTTTTTTTGTTTTGTTTTTTTTTAATCAGTGAATAAAGGGTTCCCCTTTTCAGTATTTTAATGCAACGGTAAGAGTTCAAGGACGACAGTACATGTTAGTTGATTGTGATTACATTTATTTATTTTTATTTTGTTTTTAACAGTTTGCTCGAGGATAGCGTGGCATCCAATATTTTGTTGTATAACTGACCATTTGTTTTGAATATTTCGACTAGAATAAAGACAACCCCATTTAAAATGTTTACAATTAAACAATTATGATTGCTTTAGAAATCTCACAACTTTAATATTTTCTTTCAATACTTGATTAAGGGTTCGTTAAATCAATAAACAAAAAATCTAAACCTAGATCGCATCATTTGAATTCGCAAACCTAAAGTATTTTAAAGTGCACTCCAGGTTGATTTAAAAAATGCCAGGCTAGTTTTGAATGCGAAATGCGAAATAGTCGTGTTCACGCTGATTGTTTCCGATCTCTCGAAATGTGATAAACCATATATAGTTCAAGTTGTTGCTTTATTCATATGCTTACAAGTAATGCTGATATATCTAAAACTGAGAAAACATACCTTTAAAAACATCCACAAGGTTGTCTAGTCCCTAAAGGAGTAGCCAATCTTCAACAAACGTCTCGTCTTTGCCGATGAATTCCACCATGGCACTTTCGAAACCACGTGTGTCAAATGTCAATTTTGCCAAAGAAACACCACATGTACTTCTGTGGACTGTACTTAACTCTGCACACACTTATGAAGTAATTCTTATTTCTGGTGTCTTGAGACCATGGAGGAAGAGGTTTTTAAGCTATTAGATTAAATATTGAAAGCACTGAAACTTGGAGGAGTTATGTTAGGTCCAAAACTGTTGCCTTTAATAAGGTCCTATGATTTAAATATCAATGTGATGTTATTTACGTGTAATGTGTCGCTATGATTAACTCGTGGTTATCACTAAAGTAAACAAACCTTCGGTGATTTACATTCAATGTAATTCTGATTGCTATGGAGTCAATACATTTACTGGGGAAGGCCACAGAAAGACCACTCCCCCCCCCCC